GGGCCAGAGCTCATGCAGACATCACAGCTGGAGAGGCAGCGAGGAGCCACAGTTTAAAAATAAGGTTGGCCAAAGCTCTTCGCGAGGAAGGATTGGGCTCTCCGCCTGGAAGGTTAGGACATGCAGTTCGTGCAAGCGAGGACGCTGCTGAGGCTGAGCCAGAGAGGGCTCCTCAGGGCACTGCTTAGGGGAGAAAGCAACACAGAGGGCTCGCCAGGGCATAGGGGGACTTGGGGGGAGAGTGGCTGACAGGGAGAGAACCAGAATCACCTCCCTGCCACCCATTCCCCTCCTCCTGGCTCCCCGCCTCCACCCCCCTGAACCTGCCCTTTGGGGGTCTGCACAGCCCCACTCCCCCCTCACTCTCCCAGCACCAACCCTCCACCACGGATGGGGAAAAAGTACCAGCCACAAGAGGCCTCCTCTTCCCGCCCACACCTCCATGCACGCACCCTCCTCCGGGGGAACTGCGGGTTCGACTCCAACCCTCTCCCCCTTCAGCTCCCTCCTGCAGATGCCTGCCGGGCTCCCCGTGGCTGCTGTGACGCACAAAGCAGAGAGTGACGGCACAGTCAGTTTGCGGCCTAGCGCTCCTCTCATCAGACCGTTGGCTCCTCGGGGCAGGGACCTGGCTGTCCAGCGCCCTGCCCCTCCCCAGCACTAAGCCAGTCACGAGTATTTCATACCCATGAGCACCCACCCAACCGCAGCACCACTTTCAGTGTTACCCAGAATCCATAGGGTCCTGTCCAGCCCCACATGCAGCATCTCACAATCCCTACCATATCCCAGGGCCAGTGCAACCTATTAGGCGACCTAGGTGGTCACTTAGGGCGCTAGGATTTGGGTGGCGGCATTTTCTTCGGCGGCAACCACAGCGGCCGGATCTTCGGCCGCCCCGCTCGCCGCTGGCATTTAGGTGGAGGGAGCTGGGGCAGGGGGGCGCGGGGAAGGCCACCTGCAGCAACTCGGGGTGGGGCGGCACGTAGGGGAACTCCCCGCCCCAGCTCACCTCTGCTCTGCCTCCTCCCCTGAGCATGCCACCCTGCTCTGCTTCTCTCCCTCCCAGGCTTGTGGCGCCAAACAGCTGATTGGCGCTGCAAGCCTGGGAGGTGGGAGAAGTGGAGCAGCGACAGCGTGCTCGGGGAGGAGGTGGAGCAGAGGTGAGCTGGGGTGGAGAGCTGCCGCATGGCTCCCCGGGGCTGGGGGGTGGGGTGGGGAGCTGCCGCGGC